GGAACAAATGATTTGCTACTTGAAGGCAGAGAGTGAAGTCCTCTGTGTTGGTGGGATGTGGGTGGGCAGGTTGATTCAGAGGATTGGTTTTCCTCTCTTGGTGTTGAGAGGTAAGTGGAAGGGGTTTGATGGGTGAGTAAAATAATTTTCTGTAAGAATCTTATAGCTGCAGTAGATGCAAGATGTCATGGAGGAAAATGTACCTCCCATCCTGTAGAGAAATTCGTGCCTGAGGGGATTTTTTAGCTGTCCTCATAATTTTTGCCCTTTCACACATGAGCTGTTCCCTCAGTGTGTGTTGGTGCTGAAAGTCAGGGCTGCACTATATGGTACACCCCAGTATGAGCAAGGTGGGTTTGCACTTTAAAAAATTAACCTGCTTTGCACATAAATCTGCTAATCTGTTAATGGCATAGAGATTCAGGAACAGGGAAAATGCAATGGTAGTTAAAGTTCTGATTAATTCAAGAAACTGTCTGAGTTTTGGTAGATCCACACAATCTAGGGCAGGGTCAATTTTTAAAGCTCATCTGTGGAAAGTGGAAAATTGAAGCACTTGCTGGGATCCAATTGTTCTCTTTATGGGTTCCTCTGCAAGTGCTTCGCTGTGTGAATGTGTTTCCATCACCAGCCTCAGAAATAACCCTGTCACTCCTTGCTGCCCTGGCTAGGAAGGACTGGGGCTGTGACAGGCAGCAGTGCCAGTGCTTGAGTGCTGATTAGCAGAAAAGCTCAAGAGGTAAAAGAGATTATTTGTTAGAGATGGTTTTGCTTTTCATTCTAGGGGCATCCACAGCTTTGAGCAGGAGCTGTTGGAGTGCCAGACTCCTTGGGAATGCTCCAGCCAGGAGTGCTGCTGTCTGCAGAACGTGAGGGGCTTGCCCCTGATTTGGAGACAGCAGAGAAGCAGCAGCAGCAGGAGTTGTGACCAGTGCTTTCTTTTCCTTGGCTCCTGCTGGGCCCAGTTAAGTTATTAGCACTTTCTTCAGAGGAATGAGACTCCTGCAAGGTTCCCTCCGTGCCCTGCTTTCAGTCCCCAGCCCTGGCCTGGGATTAGTGGTTTGCTTTCACACTGCTTGCACACTGGAGTTGTTACAGCTGTGAGCAATTGCTGTTGGCCCTGGCAGCCAGGGCAGAGCTATTCTTCACAGCTGAAACGAACAGAGATCCTTTAAAAAACTTGGGAGAGATCTCTGAGGTCAGCTCTGAGTAGTTGTTTGTCCTGACTGTGAAAATAACTCGATTGTAAAAAACATTTATGACACTTTCAACTCTATCAGGCAGTGTGTGTTGTCGAGATTATTTTGAAAGATAGAGGATAGACCGGGGATAGAAATGTGCTTATTTTTCAAACAAGCTGAGATTAGAGCAAGCATTTACAGTTTTGCAAATCAAAGGAGGCTGGGACTTGCATCTTTGGAGACCCTGAAGGGCAGCTCTGTCAGCCAGAGAGGAGATTTGCTGGATCAGACAGCACAGCCCCACTCTGAGTCCTCATCCCGTGGTGACAGGATCCTGCTGTGCTGAGCTGCCTTAGGTGTGTGCCGTGGATTGCTGTCCCTGGGAGCAGCACAGCCTTCCTGCCCTGTCCCTGTGCAGGACACGGCCCTGCCTGTGCCCCTGGCATGGAGCTCTGCACAGCCACTGCTTGCAGCTGCTTGGCTTGGGTTTATTATGAAATGGCAGCTCTATTTCCTCCTGTGCCCCTCATCCCTCCCTTTTTGCCTTTGGAAAGCGGGTTTATTTTGAAATGGCAGCTCTATTTCCTCCTGTGCCCCTCATCCCTCCCTTTTTGCCTTTGGAAAGCGGGTTTATTTTGAAATGGCAGCTCTATTTCCTCCTGTGCCCCTCATCCCTCCCTTTTTGCCTTTGGAAAGCGGGTTTATTTTGAAATGGCAGCTCTATTTCCTCCTGTGCCCCTCATCCCTCCCTTTTTGCCTTTGGAAAGCGGGTTTATTTTGAAATGGCAGCTCTATTTCCTCCTGTGCCCCTCATCCCTCCCTTTTTGCCTTTGGAGGATGGACTCACAGACTGAGTCACAGCCTTGCTGCAGACTTTGAGCAGCACAGCCTTGACCAGACCCTTTTTTAGGGAAGGAAGAGGAGAAAAAAACAACCATCAACAACCACTGTTGATTCTGGCTTTGATAGTGTAAATACCACTGTGCTGCAAAATGAAAAACTAAACATGCAGCCTAGATAGCTGACTTTGAAATGTGTGCTAGTGGTAACTGAGTTTATGGGAGGTTTTTTTTCTATTTCCTTTTTTCCCCCCCCTTTGAGTGTGATTCAATTAAAGAACCTTTTTGACCAAATTTGGAGAGAATTGGGTTAAGGCTTTTGAAGAATGCCTTTCTGCTCCAGCTCTCAGTGAAATCCATCCAAATACACAAAACAGAAAGGTTGTTGATATAGTTTCTTTGGAAGCTGGGCTGTATTTTCTCCCCAGTTCAGGCTGTCTCCTTGAAACTTGATTTCTGCTTGTTGCTCTTCTCACCGAACCTGAATCCAGAATAACAAATATTATTATTAAAAAAAAAAAAAGAAAGAAGAATTTCAGAGTCTGTTTTCAGTTCCCTTCTGTGGCTCCCAGAAAAGCACTCTGCCAAGATTTCCAGTGAGCACTGTGTGCCTGGACAGCTGCAGAGCAGGCTGGAGCAGGAGAGTCCTGTTACAGAACTGTTCAGGAGCCTTCTGTGGGCTCAGGAACTGTGGAAATGGATCCCAGCTTGGCTGTGCCAAGCTCCAAGTCCCTCAACAAGCTGCATGATTTCCTTCCAAAGTTAATATCGAGTTTAAACAATTATTCCTCAGATTCTGCCTTATTTTTTTGCCGCTTAGCCTCAGAAGTTTGTCACTCCTTTTCATGTCTTTGGTGGCAACACCATCCCATTCTCTTATACCTCTTTCTGCCTTTTATGGAAAAATCCTTCAGCTGCAATAAGCTGGGCCTTTTTCCTTTCCTCTTGCTATTCTTGTAAGCCTCTTCAGAGACATTTCAAGCATCATTGCTAAAAAGTTCAATAAACCAGAACAATAGTGGCCTTCCTTCTGTGCTTCCCTCTTGCCAGTTGTGCTTGGGGCTGCCAAGATGAGTCTTTAAAGCCAGCCCTGAATCTCACCAATCTCTCCATCTGACATTTTGTTCCAGACAGTGTGTTGTGGTTTGGGACTATATATTGTGTGTCTCCTTGACTTCGTGGCTAATTGCATGTCATAAACATTATTAGTAGAATAGTTTTGACAGCATTCCATGGGAACACTCTGCTGGCTCCCCATTATGGCTTCACATAACATAAGAAATCATTTGCTAGAGATTACTGATCTGGATACTCTTTTAAAATTTTTGTTCTGTGCTTCTTCACCTTTTTTTTAAATTAATTCGATTGTTTTAGAGATTGGTGAAGTTTAGACTCAGTAAATTTTTTTAATACTAAAGGATTTCCTATATTTTTTTCTCCTTTTGCCTTGTCTTCAAGGTGGTGGTATCTTCTGCCTGATCTGCGTTTCTATTTCAAGGGTTCTTTGTTTGAATGTTTTTCCCCCAAGTTCAGATTTAATTTGTCTTAAATTTAGCTTTTTAAACTTACATGAGTGTGGATGGGTTTTTGGAGGGTTGGAGTTTTTCATTGGACCTGTTGTAGATGTATGTTCCCCACACAGAGCAGTAGAGGAGTTTTTCCCATTTTCCATTAACAAGTCTGTTCCTGGGGAACAACCACCTCCTCATGATGATAAATCCCAGTCTAATAAAAAAACATTACCCTGTTAGAGCACCTCTTTAAGCATCCTTGGCTGCTGTGGGAGTCCCCAGGTTGGGATTTGCAGGTGAAATGTGGATTAGGTTGCTTCCAATGCAGTCTAGAATGGATTAGAGCAATAAAATATAGATTTGCTTCCTGCCAACAGTTCAAATTCTAAATCAATTTATTTTCCATCCACTCATGCCGAATAGAAGTTGTGAACAGCAAAGCAAAGGAGTTTTAAGAGCTGTTAGTAAAAGGCTAAAGAGTCTTTGTCTGAGCACAAAAAAAACTTAATAAACTCACTGCAGGGAGCAGAAATGACTTTGTGCTTGTGTCACAAGCACAAAATATTGCCAGCATCCCTCTTTCAATCCCAGACAAAATCTGGTACACTGAGAAAGTAACTGAATTTCTTTCAGTAGCACCTGGATTCATTTTTAGGTGAATAAATTGTGTGGAATTTTCCAAAGTTTTGTATTGATGTCCAGATACAGCTAGTTGTGTCTAATCATCCAGGTTTAAAGATGCTAATTGTAGTTGCTGATGCATATGTGACTTTTTTTGCCTGTAAAATCACAGTTATGAGTTCTATCCCCAAGAATTTCTCTTGAGAAACTTCAGAGTGTAACCTGGGTGGGATAAAATCTGAAAGGTGCTAACAGGATGGAGCCCTAACATTTGCTGGCATCTCTAAACAGCTGATACTTTATTTATGATACAAAATATGTGTTTGGGGTTTTTTAAACCTTGACACTGTCAGAATGCAACGTCAGAAAAGTTAGTTATGGTACAGTTTATTTTCAGTGATTGTTGTGATGCTATAAAATGATGTAACTCCTATAGCCACTATCACAAGAGGGTTACCTTGGGCTGGATAGCACTGAATTTATTTTAAATTTTAAGTCATGCTCAGCCTTATCTGGTTGTGCCAAAAAGCTTTGAAACTTTATATCCTTCCATGCATAAGAAGCAAAATGCTGTTCTTATGCTCTATTTATTGCTGCCTGCTGCAATGGAAAAGGTAGGAAGCAAAAATAAAAAAAGGTGCTGTAATAAAACTAATGTTCACCTATACCAGCATAGTATTTTTGAGAATGAGAGGAAAATCTTTAGAGATGGGTTAACATTTATTCAATATGTTGTTAAAGGGGGTTTGGGTTTTGTTTATCAAGGCTGAGTTCTCCAAAGCCCTTATTTGTGGGAAGAGGAATGTATTCAGAGAAAAAAGCTCAGCTGAAAAAACACGGGGCTGTTTGAATGAAGGAGAGCTGGGAGGCTGTCAGCAGCCTTGTTACTGCTCCTGGCACGGCTGCCTGCTGTGATCCCGCACTGAAAAGCACATCTTCTGGAATTTTAGGTGGCATCTGCAGAAAATGCCCCAAGGCACAATGGACGAGATGCCCAGAACTAATTATCTGCCACACAGGGGGAAATTTGCAGCAGTTCCATTTTGAGTGAGTAATTCCAATTACTTGGGGACGTTTTTAAAGCACTGGCACATTTGATAGAAGGAGGGGGGAAACCCAAGCACAGCTTGTCAATGGAATCTGTTGATGCTGGCATTCAGTGGTGTAGATATTAACAGTGGGATAATACTTGTAATTCATTTAGCTTGAAAAACAAAAGCAGCCAGAGTAAGGCCAAGGCTCACAAAAAATGAGTCCCCAAAGATAAGTTGATATTTATTTACTTAATAAGGACAATTGCTTTTTAAAAGTGTCAAGTACTCAGCAGCTGCTATTATTACCAGCAGAACTGGTAGCAAAGGAAATAACAGAGAATGGTGCCATAATCATTAGGCTGGTTTTGTTCAAGGTAATCTGTGCCTGTGGTCAGAAGCAAGCCAAGTATTTAGGCTGTGGGTTCTGGCCCAAATGAGCCTTCTCTGATCTAAAATAACACAAAACCCCAGAACTGTGTGTTACAGACAGGAGGGGAACATGGGCAGGAGGAGTCAGCTTGAGGAGGTGAACATTTCTCTGGTGGATTGGTGTGGCAGATATCTTTTATGAAAAATCCTTTCCTTCGGATTTTTCCTCCTGAGAAGCTGGGAGGCCTCAGGAACAAAATGCAAACAATGGTTATCTGCTGCTGTGGAATGCAACAGGTGCATCTGTGATTGGTCTCATGTGGTTGTTTGTAATTAATGGCCAATCACAGTCAGCTGGCTCAGACACAGAGCCGAGCCACAAGCCTTGGTTATCATTCCTTACTATTCTATTTTTAGCCAGCCTTCTGATGAAATCCTTTCTTTTATTCTTTTAGTACAGTTTTAATGTAATATATATGATAAAATAATAAATCCAGCCTTCTGAAACACAGAGTCAGAGCCTCATATTTTCCCTCGACCTAAGATCCCTATGAACACCATCACAGGCTGGGGGGTTGTGCCTGAGCTGCCCCCACCCCACAGGCAGCAGGGACAGCAAACCTGGCTGGAAAAGGTCACCTGGCAGGAGGGGGGGCACAGGAGGGGACCCTGAGGCTCCCCTGAGCCTTTGGAGGAGGTGTGGTGGTGTTTGTAGGGGTCCCAGGATGAGGGAAGAGATGAGAATCCTGACTCCATGTTTCAGAAGGCTGATTTATTATTTTATGGTGTATATTATATTAAAAGAAAATTATATATTATAACTATACTGAAAGAATAGAAGAAAGGATTTCATCAGAAGGCAGGAAAGGAAAAGGAAATCTTGTGACTGACCAGAGAGTCTGAGATAGCCAGACTGTGATAGGCCATTAATTAAAAACAACCACATGAAACCAATCAAAGATGCACCTGTTGCATTCCACAGCAGCAGATAATCATAATTTTTATTTTCGTCTGAGGCTTCTTAGGAGAAAAATTCTAGCAAAAGTATTTTTCAGCAAATCTGTCCGTGACAGAGGAGGAGGCAGGAGATGGGGACAGCTTGGACACCCATGGCCAGTTTGGTTTGAGCTCAAAGGGCAGGCTTGCTGTGAGGGCCCTGAATTAGTTTCAGATGACATCATACTCGATGAGTGATTATATTTAGAATGTGTGGTAATATGTTCTGAGACCTTCCATATGTTAATTATGCATGCTTCAATATATGGCTACAGGAAGCCTGTGAAATCAAAGCAACATTGCAGGTAGGGAAAATATTTTCTCTAGGTGAACTTTAAACACAGTTCTGCAAAAAGGTTTTACATGCCACAACCAAATTCATTTCTATTTTAAAGTTGGTTGTTTTTAATGGATGAAAGGCTTGCATGTTTAAGATTTAAATATTCAGGCTTAGTTGATATTTTGGGACAAGAAAGTATTTGGTCCATATTTATCAAAAGTAGTGGTTTTGTTGAAAAGTAGAGAGCAAATATTTCTAATGTATTAAATTATGGAATGAGTTTAAAGACTCAAAGAGCTCTGTGGAGTTTGTCAGCCAATGTTGAAAATTTTGCCTCTGAAATACCACAGCAGCTTAGTAGATGTGGATGAGCTGTTAAAAAAATCACAAACAGCCCTGCCCCTCCCAAACAACAAAAAAAACTTTTGTAAACTTGCATTTTCAGTGTAGGTATCTTCCTATCCTTCTGCCCATCTCAGCTCCATAACACCAAATACTTGAAATTATGAATGCTCATTGTGATAAGCAACTTTGTGTAGATGATTGGCTTGGACTCTTGAACTTCAGCAAAAGAAAGACTAAATTAATTAAAAGCACATTATTAACTTAGGCTGGGCTGGAACTGGGGTAGACTACCTTTAGGACTTTGCTTTAAAAATCTTTGTGAGTTTAATTCACATGGCTTTCAGCTGAGCATCAATGGGACAAACTAATCTGCAAATCCTTTTTTTTTTTTTTTTTTTTTGTCTTTATTATAAAGTCATTGTCTTTCACAGAAGGTAAGGTGAAAAATTGTCTTTTCTGAAAAACCTGAACAGGTTTGCCTGTGGACTAAATAATTTGTTTTGAAAACAGTGCAGAAGGAAACTGTTGGAAGTTGTAGATCAGTTTTCTTTTGTTCCCAGTCCTCCTGGACAGATTTCGTAATAAAAATTGCGAAATTTTTGCATAGTTAGATATAATCTGTTTGAGGAGCCCAGTTCAGACAGTGTGAACAACAGTAAGGTCCTGAACTACAACATGTTATCAAAAGAGATTTCCAATTTGGGATGCAATATGTATTTTTCTGTAGCAAGTCTACACTTCTTTCTCTACTACTCCTCCCCAGCATTTATTGGAAGGCTGAAACTTCAGCTGAAAAAGTTTTTTAGCAGAAAATATTTGACTGAATAACTTAACACTTTTTGTTTTAGAAAAATGGTTTCTACAAATCTGTATAAAGCTGTGATTTAGTGCTGCTCACATGGCAAGGTGCCAGGGCTGAAAGATGTTTTGGGGAAGAATTTCTCTTTTTTGGTTCTTGATTAAGCATCTCCTCTCCCCCAGATAATTTCTGTGTATATGTGAGACTGCACTACTCCTCTGGCTGCAGGCAGGAGTACAAATTCTCCTTGGAATATTTTATTGAAGTTGTTTTGTAGTAAAATCCAGTGTGGCACTGTCCCACCATTTGTATTTGAAATGTGAATCTGCACCTTTACATTTCACCCCCAGCACTGCCTTCTTTTCACCTTTCAAATATCTGCTGATATCTGACTCTCAAATATCTGACATTTATTTCACTGCCATGGTGATACAAAAGCCCTGTGGCAGCCCTTGCTGGCATTGGAAGATTTGGGACTGTTTGTTCTGAGATGGCAAATGAAGAAATGCAAGAAAGCAATTCCATCAATCTCACATTTTTGTGCTCTGCTGGTTTTGAAAAAGAGAATTTTTTTTTCTTTGCTCCCCATGGATAAGGCACAGAACAAAACTCTTCCATAACTTTTCCAAACCAGATCACAGAAATGCTCTGGAGTGGGCTCTGGTCAGGCAGGAGGGTTTGTTGTTGTTTCTTTGTTGAATGTCCCTCCAAGTCCTCTTTGGTGTGAAACAGTGGAAAAGGCTGAATACAAACATCAAGGGGGTGAGAAACCCAAAGAGAAATTTTTGCTGGTAGTAGGAAAAGTGAAAAGGGCGTTATAGAGGCAATGCACACAGTAAAGAGCAAAAGCTTTGTCTAAAATAGACATGAGGGGTGTTTGGTTAAGGCAGGTGGCTTTGCACCAGGTGCTGGTAACAAAACCTGCAAAACAAGAAGGGAGAATCAGTTGGGATAATGCTGGAATAACCTCAGCTGGACACCATCACTGGGGCTGACTGTCAGAGAGCAGCAGCTGGGAATTGTTATGTGAAATTCAGCTTCCCACATTAAAGAGAGAGTGGTGCAGAGTCCAACAAAAACCAATGCAAAAAAAAACCAATTAATGATGGTTTAGGTTTAGTTTTGGTGGGGTATTGATGGCCCAGAAAAAAGCCAGGCATAGAAATCAACATTGAAAAATACCTTGGGACAAAATGATTGAGCATATATGCTAGAATTATCATTAAACACATTTTCCTTCATTTTATGACTGCATTGTTGTAGTGCCTGGATAGATTACTTTCTTTACCAATACCACATTTCTTCTCTGCCTATTTTTGTCAGAGCTCTCAAGAGTTTGCCCAGAACTCTGCTTCCCCAGGGGTGCAGTGTGAACTCTTGCTCTGCTTTAAACTCTCCAGTGTTCAGTGCTGCACCTCTGTGCTCAGCTTTGCTTCTGTGTGAAAATAAAGTGCCCAGAGCTGTAGAGATTTGTATATCCTGTAACACTGCTGCAGCTCTGCTCTTTGAGGTGCTGGAAGCTGATTCCTTGCCCTGGGCAAAAGTCTCTTGTTTCTCAGGAGACAGCTTGGGAAGGTTTGATGGTTTTGCTTTTTAACTTTGTTTTTGTTGTCTTATAAAAGGAGGGAATGCTTATGGGATCAGTGTTTTATAGTTTTGCCAGTCCGAATAAATAGAAAAGCCAAGAGATGACACCTTGGGCACATGTAGAAACACAAAAGCTCTTAAAAATTGAAATGTCTCCTGCTACAGGGCCATCCAATGCTTGTCTAATAATTTTCTTGTCCAGATCACAACACCTTTGAGCCCCTCATGTAATGCAATATATGACTTATCTAACTTATAAAAATACGGTATATACATACAAATAAAAGAAAATAAATAATATATATACAATATATATGTCATGTTGGATAATGAGCTGAAACAGACTCAAAAAATCCTTTTTCCTGTTAGAGAGAGGAACAAAATTCCCTTGATGTCTATGTACAGTGCAGAGGGGAACTCAATTCCCCATTGCTAGTTCACTGCATGACATTTAAAATCAGTATAATGATACCAAAATCAGCAATCAATTCTCTAGAACAGTGACCTTTTCTTTACTTCAGAACTATTTTAAATATTCATGGCCAGGACCTTACTGAGAGGAAGCTCTGCAGAGGATGGGGCTCTTCCTTTGTTTGCTGGACGGTGAGTTTCTCCAAAGAAGGAGGAAAAATTGGTGCCCCTCAGAGAAAGCCACAAAACCTCACTGCAATGCTCACCTGAGAGCAGAAGAGAACCAAACACTGCAGTCTGTCCCCACCTGCCTGTTATTTGCAATCAGAACTGGATATTTCCAGGTGGAGAAATGGTGGCTGAGGGAGTTTAGTTTAATTTCCTTCCCCCTTGTAGTGCTGGGATAGATTTTACTTTTAGCTTACGAAGCCAAATGGCCTGACTCACTGGTGAGGCACTGAAAAATGACCAAAACTTGGTTTCTGCTTAGGCCCCCAAATGTAGGTAATAGCACCAAGGTGCTTTGAGGATTTGGGAAGAAACTTGGCATCACTGCTAGGACAGTGGAGACAGCAGAAGAAGCAGCACATAATGGGTTCTGATAGAGATGGAAATCTTTATCAGATTATCTGAGATCAGTCTTTATCTGATAAAGATGGAAGAACGTCTATGGCAAAGTCAGCAGGGAGGACCCTCAGAGCTGCTGCAGTTGTGTTCTGCCTGAAGGGAAAACTCCTGCATTCACTGAACATCCTGGCACTCAAAGGTAAGGATTTTCCTGCAAACAGCATAGGTGCAGCTCCAGCCAGGTAATAAAAATGTTCCTCCAGACCCTGAGTCTAAAAAATGACACAGCTCTGATGCATTAAGCCACTGGATTAGCTGGACAATACTGTCTTCCTGTTTGTTTCACAGTGGACAGGAATTAAAGATATTAATTAAATTAAGGTTATTAAGGCAATTAAACTGAATAATGCTAAACATTTTTAATGCCCCTCTAAGACCTGTTCTGGCTGGAGGAGCTGCTGTCTTGTCATTCTTGTCTGCTCAGAGCCCTTTGTCTGTGTACCTCAAATTGTGTGTCTGATGCATGCTGAGCAAATAGGATTGTCCCATGGCAGTGCTTCGTGTTATTTTGGGTTTGAAACGCCTGTTATTTGGGGTTTTAGAAAACTTGAAACTCTCCACTTTGGGCTGGCTTTGTGTTGCTTGGTGTTGATGTTCAGTTTCAAGAAGAGGTTTGGCTAAAGGAGACAGTGCATAGCTGAGTGCAGAGTCACAGATGTGCACAGTTGGGCACAATCTGAGGCTTTCCCAAATGTGCTTTCATTCTTTTCCCCAGTTCATGTGTCCAAATGCTTCTTGAGAGAAGTCTAGCACCAAACATAAGAGGAAATATTTTCCCCTTTCAAGTTTGAGTCTCTAAATGTCACTGCTCTCCCTGAGGTCAGCACAAGGTTTTTATTTCCTTGTTCTAAGCAGGATAGAAATTTGCCAGTCTCCTTTTTTTCCCCCCCCATCTTCACAGGATTTATCCATGTGCAATCACTGCTGATTGGATTCTCCCTTTTCAGGCACCCAGCTGTGCTGCCTGAATGCTCACCCCAGCCTGCTTGCCAATTTTAAATGCTTTACAGGGTCATGTTTTTATCCAAGCCAATCTGAATTGCACATCACTTCAAATGTTCCACTTCAAAACAGCAGCAACAAAAAACCCACACCAAAAACCCACACCATAAAAATCCCCCAAAATGTAAATCCACCCTGTTCCCCAAGTTCTCAATCTCTGGGATATCCCCCTGTAGAATGAGATATCTGTCATGAGGAGAGATGCATCTGAACAGGGATCAAATTTGGCCTCTGCTGAGAATTTCAGGTATTGGGTTGCACTTTTTCTCCTGGAATATCTCCCCTTCTCTAACATGGCAGAACTCTTTTTTTCAGTCTTCACTTTTGGAAGCTGAAGATGCCTTATGGTAACAAATTTCTTCCAACCACCTTCTGCAGAAAATAAAAAAAATGTTTTCTCATAATTTGAGAAAAGTTGCAGAATTCTTTGCCATGTTGAATGCCCCCTTATTCTGCACAGAAGCTTCTTCTGTATTTATATTTTTTCTCAATTGAGTTAAAAGCTGAGGTACTTTCATGAGCCAATCCTTTATGAGCTTGGGGGAATCAGAGTGAATTTTGTGGCTCAAGAGGAGACCCAAGGTATCCACAGGATTTTGGCTACAAACCAGGGAAACTGCAGCAGTCTTAATTCTAATTGCTGTGGCTCAAGTTGCCACATCTCTCTCTTGGAAGATTTTCTTCAAAGTTTTTCTCCCCTTACTGTGTTTGAGTGATGTGTTCTGATTAGGCTACTGAGGCTGCAAGATAACAAATGTATGTTTGCATGAGTTGTCATTGTTGGGTTGGTTTTCCCTTTTGTCTGAAGGCATGTGACATTTTTGTCAAAATCAACTCTTAAACAGCCTCTGTTAAGAAGGCTTTAGGGTTCATCAAATAATAAAACTGATCTTTGAATAATAACATATGTAAACTTCAATTCAAAGGCCTGCTGGAAAGCTGACAAAAAGTTGTCATGGAAACCACTAACACCTAGATATGAGTGAAAAAGAAGCTTTCATTCAGAGACCACAATTATTTGCAAAAGAATCTGTAAGTTTCTGAAACATTTTTTCTGCTCAGTTGTGATGGTAGGGCTGCTTTTAATTTTCATAAATGTATGTGTGGATTCACAAACAGACACAGATAAGGAATGTTGTGCTTTGTGCTGGGTGAATAAAAAAAGTTCTGGAACATGAAATTGCTGAGAATCAATGAGAGATTAAGGGGAGGATGTTGTTGGCCTCTTGTATTTGATTATAGCTTATCCATTTTTGATAAAATGTGTTTAATTCTTGTTCAACTGAGCACAAGAGAGAAAAATGTGCATATAAAATGAAATTATGGGCAAGATGTGGAGCAGAGAGAAAGTACCTGACAAGCCTGGCTAATCAGGAAATAAAATGGCAGCAGAAATTAAGAAGAAAGGAAGGCTGAGTTTATAGCCTGTGTTTTAGATACTTTTCTTTTGAGTTTGTCTTACTGAAGTAACTCAGCAGTTAATTTAAATGTGTAGTACATATCTAAATATGGTTTTATGCAACATTTTTTTTTAAATTCAGATTTTTCAGTTATCCAAAGACTGTGCTGGACAATGATAGCTCTGTGTCATTTGGGTAGACTTTTAATAATGTCACCTTCTCTGTCTTTACAGAGCTCTTTCTGATGCCTTGTGAAGGCTGCCCTGGAGCAGAGGCTGGGCAGAGTTACAGAATAAAGCAGGGATTTATTCACAGGATCTCCTCCATGGATGCATCTTGGGCAGCACCAGAGCCCAGCCAGGGCTGCACCCAAGATGAACCAAAATGGCCCCAAAATGCACGGCCGGGCACGGGCTCTGTCCCTGGGATCAGTTCTGCTCCATTTGCACCTTGCAGTTCATTGTCCCATTCCAGCTTTAGCCCAGGCAGTCCCACCCTGCTTGTTTTTCTCTCTCCAGCCCACGGGGTTTGTGCTCCTGGGCTGAGATTTGGGTCATTTGTCCTTGGTGCCCAGCTGGAGCAGGAATTGTTTTGTCTCCCTGCTCTGTGCACAGAGCTCAGCATCCCATAATACAAAGCTCAGACCCACACACCTAAAACAGCACAGAATCTGAAAAATATAAAAGCTAAACCTGAGGCATCATTTCAAGGCAGATATTGAAGTGTTACAGTATTTTTTGGAACACTCCAAACTGACATTTCTGCACAGAAGTCATACTATGCTCTCAAAGGCCTATTTCTGCCACTGTCCCTGTCCAGTGCAGAGTTTTAAATGATGCTCTGCTACTTTTCTCACTGACACTGAGCACTTCCAGTGGGGCATTGTTTACTGTTCCATGCTTGCTCTTGGCTAGGGATTGTGATGCCACAACCTCGTGTCTTAATTAAGCAGAATTCACAGCGCAGAGTTTAGGCTGACACTCTGCTTTCATGTCAGCGCTGTGTGACTCAGTAAAAATCCCAATCCAGCGGTGCAAAATCCTAACTGGCAAGATGATCACTCTTGGTTTAGCATGACAGGCCCTGGAGACAGGGCTAATGAATAAAGATGCAGACCCCTAGGTGCATGGTGAGAGCTGCTGTTGACTCATCTTGGTGATTACATGGAAAAGTAGGGTTCCTTCTGCATTCTGAGTTTCCCAGTGAAACCTCAGATTAAGAATGACATAACTGGGCCAGACCCACCCAGGGCTGTGTGTTTTCTGATGGAGACAGCAGTGGCAATAAAAGACAGCAGAGAAGAACCAGGCAAAGTCAAAGGTGGTGCCCTGGGGGTGGAAAAGCTTTGTGCAGCCTGGACAGCAACTCTTTGCTCTTCTTGGCCCTAGGGGGTTTTCAGTCCCTGCAAAGTGATGCCCACCTTCACCTGGGCACGAGTCAAATGCAATTCCTTGTCCTTCTGAAACCTGGATCATAGTTTTTCCTTGAAATGCTGAGGGTCTGCATTAAGCCTGTGGCAGAAATCACTCTTACAAAAGGCTACTTGACTTCTCTGCCTTGTTCTGTTGATGCTGGATAAAACAAATAAAATTTAGTAAGTATTTCAAACAGATAGTTCCCACTCTTCTTTTCACATTAGTGATTATACTCATGTCTATTTAGCTATTAATTGCCTTGCCTTTTGGTGCAATTGCTAACTGAAAATGAATTCATTCCTATTTTTATTAAAGCAAGTGGTGCTGTAGTGACCAGCAACAGACTAAATCCATGGGGGAAGATAATTACAGCTGGAGCCAGAGGGGTTTAGGAGATCAACATAACATTTTTGGTGGAAGAGAATGGTAGTTTAATAAAATATGAAGCAGGATTAATGCTGTAGGTGACCTTAAAATATTGACTAGCAAAGAGTAGAGTGGCAATTGCACATACATGTGTAGCAGTAATGTGTTTGTGTTTAACAGAGACGATCAAAATGTTATAAAAGACCCTAAATATGGATTGCTTGAGTTCATATAATTTAAGGTGAATGTCAGCTTACCCCAGAAACAAACAAAACTAAGCTATTTCTCCAATTCTGTGAAAAATAAATGAATTGCTTTTGAGAATTGGAATTTGTGATAGCAAATGTCACAGTGTGTAACCATGGTGCTGTAACAGACTCAGCAGCCTCTTGGGTTGGTGTCCTGTTCTTGGAGACTCTCAGCCATGGACTGGTGCTGGGAAATGCAGTTTGCCTCCAGCAGATTTTTCCAGACCTCTGGGGGCAATAAATGACATTTTTCTCCAAGACCTCACTCGTTAACTTTATAAATTCTCATTTTTTTTAATTAACTCCAGCAATCATTTCTCATTTGGTCCGACTGAGATGTGTAACAGGTCCTTGCCATGGCCTTTTGTGCTAACATTTTCAACTAATTCACAGCAACACTGAACAAAACTAGTCAGGTAGTGCTGAGATGTGCTTGCATCACCCAGTGCCAACAGCATGGCATTGTAAGGATGGTGTGAGACTGAATTTCCACTCACCTTTTCTTATTGTTGAGCCCTAGGCTATGTGCACTGAAATCTCACTTCCATGAGTCTTGATAGATTTAAAGAAACCCTATTTAATGCATTTTTAATACATGGTGGTGTATTTTATGATGGTGTTTGTTTAGTTTTGTTAGAAGTAAATCAATTTTTATTACATGTTTTAACACCAGTGGCACCTAGACTTGTGCTCTCAGGTATTTTATAATAGCTATGTTTTAGTCCTGTAAATGTTTTTATTTCTTGTAGGCATATTGAGTAATCATGTGCTCTAATCCCAAAATGTTTTCCCTAAGTACAGTTTTTTGGTGCTAAACTTGCAGTGCCAGTACAGAAGCCTTTGGTGCTCACTTTGAATGTAGGCTGGGATCTGGCAAGATTTGTCTTAGCTTCTGTGAGAGATTTTTAACCATCCCTCCAGAAAACTCAGCATCCTGCACAGCTGAACTTTGCCTCTACATGAGGAAAATATCCATTTTCTTTATAAAGAAATAAACAATAAATATCCACTTTCTTTATCTCTTGATGAAGAGACTGGAGGTTGAGGACCTGCTGCAGCAGTGCACTGAAGGACTTGTTCAAGTTCCAGCTGGCAGCAATCCTTTTGAAATCTGAAGATTAAACCAGTGGGGTGAGTACCAGACTCCCATTGACTTCAGTGAGCCAGGATTTAATCTAATTTCCTAATTAAATGGTCCTGTTCTTCAGCAAAAGCATTAGAAAGATAAATGCTCTGTAATTGCTTTGAGTATTTCCAGTGAAATCCATTTGCTTAGGCTAACACATTTCACATTTCAGTGCAATAACTACTTTTGTGGCTTCAAACTGTGCAAGAGATGAATATGAAGGTGAGGTAGTACATTTGTGGACTTTTCTCTCAAGGTAATGATTTTGGACTCCCTTGTTGGGGTGAATAATTTCCTTCATTGGCTCTCTTTCCTGTCTCAGACTGTTGAAACCAAAGGTGGCAAAAGGTATTAAAAACACTTCTGCAAGGTCAGCTCTTAAACTAACATTTTAGTCTTTTATATTCAGGCTTAAATATAATTATATAGAAGATAAAAGCCTGAGGAAGAAAGATCTGTCTGTTGTGAACCATTTTGCTATTATTCCTTTTGATCTAATTGGCCCATAGCAAAGCTCCTCTATATTTTCTATTAAGAGGAAGAAAAAGGACTTTATTTTTCTGCTTCAGGGAAAAAAAAAATATGATTTGGCAGCCTCTATTTAAATAAATAGTTGTATTTATTTGCAGTTGCATTTCTACTTTCACAGTAGAAAAAATATTTTAAGCTTGCAAAATTAATCCTAAAGATTTGAACAGGTTTTCTGAATGGGATGAATTGTGTGTTTTAAATAGATAACCAGAATACAAAAACCAAAACCAAGAGCTGCCTGAACAAGTCCCATTCCCACTAAAGAAAGATTACATTGTCACTGGGATGTGGGTCACAGCAGGACATGCTTCATATGTTTAATTGAATCTTTTTATGAATGGCACACTTTCATGCATTTCTTATGAAAGGAAACGTAGTGTTTTCATTTATCAGGAGCCGGGAGCAAGGTTGTATTAAACAGATTAAAGGTGTGATTTATTCAGCACCAGCTGCCAGTGCTGCTGACCTGTGAGATGATAGCTTGTGAGAGGGATTTCTGAGGGCAGGGAGCTGGGGTTCACCTCATGTCCTGAGGGAACATCTGCTCCAAGGACACGCTCTCCTGCTTACATCTCCAGCCCAAGGCCAGCTCAGGGGTGGCAGAGCCATTTGAGCCCCATTTGAGGGGTTTCTCCTTTTCCATGTCCACACAAAGCAAGGGAGTGCTGCCCAGAGATGTGGATGTAATAATCACATATCCTCTGAACAGAGAGACATGGTTCTCCCAGGAAAATCCTGGGAAGGCTGTGTAAAAACTGTAGGAAACTTGAAAGAAAAGAATTCAAGCAATTATTATCTCTCTTTCTATAAGTATTGTTTTTAGATATGGTTCTCCAGAGTGTGCTGTTCATAGTTCACCAATGGTGTGAGAGAAGATTCCTAAAAAACAATCAGGTCTTAAGTCCACCATTGCTTCTATAAGAACTGTGGGTTTGTGTGGAAACCCAGGGCACACAGGGAATATTTCTGTGTCTGCTCTGGCGTGCCCTGGCCCCCAGGGCAGCACTGACTCTGACCCTCATCCATGGAGAAAGTTTCCCAGACTGCAAGATAGACTGGAACCCACAAAAGTGTGAAATAGATTATAGAGAGCAGTGTAGGTGCATCACTGGGTGAGAAATTGAGGTTTTGGGATTTTTAGTGTGTTGTGGATGGCAGCAAGATGGAGGGCACAGGGTGTCATCCTGGGTTTCTTCTTCATGCTGCTTGTTCCTCCTTCTCCATGGGTTTGGGTGGCATTTTGTGATTGGGCAGAAAAGTCTGGATTGTGCGCTCTTTGAGATCAGTTATTGGGTTAAAAGGGAAAATAATCCAGGTGTCAGTTCTTAATTGGACAGTTTAGTCTGAAAAGACCTTGGAACAAGAGATTGTTGGCCATTTTTGTAGTGCTTTTCTGATGTGCTGAGCCTGGTGTGGACAGCATGCAAAACTCTAGATAAGATAATAATAAACAAGAACCTGAGGGCTCAAAAGATCCAGTGGGTTTCTTTCCTGACAGAAAACTGCTCCAGGAGTCTCCCCAGACAGGGGAGCCTCTTGGGAGAGCCCAGCCAGAGACACCCAGAGGTAAAGGGATCAGCAACAGGTACCCTGACAGGTTTCTAATAATAAAGTGTTTATCATGCCTTCTGATGATGGAATCTGTGTACCCCCTTTGGGTGTCCCCAGTTCCCCTACAGCCATACCTGGGGCTCAGGTGGGTGCTCCATCCAGAATTCCATGTCCCAGCAGACGTGCTGGCTGTGAGCAGCTCCCACAGGGCATCTCTGCCCCACACTGCAGTGCCTTCCCATTGGGAACTCAGTGGGCTTTTACACCTCCCAGGGGCCCAGAGGGAAGGAAGGCAAGGCTCCAGCAAGCCTGGCAAAGATGCAAAAGCAGTGCCCTGATGCTTTTCACCACCACAGGGATGGGGCAGGATATGTGCTGGCTGCTGTCTGTACTGACACACAGTTGTGCAGGCATGTTTTCACCTGACTTAGATGTATTCCCTCTGGTGGTAGGACAACTTCCTAAAAGGAAATAGCATCTGATTTGGACAGATGTCTGTCATTGTAATTAGAAGCCTTCAACTGGTTAATGACAGCAGAAATGGTCAGAATCAAAATATTTAGGCTGCCTCCCATGTGTGTTCTAAATCAGGCTGAGCTCTTGCACAGAAATGTGAAATAAATAAGCAAACCCTCCCTGGGGGCTCGTGCACACACAGATAGGAAACCATTCTTATTAGGGGAAAGTAAACTGTGTTTGGTAAATCCAGAAACTGAATCCATACAGATTTAATGCAGAAAATGCATGTATCCCCCTTTGTAACATTAGCATGAGTCCACTATTTCTTTTCCAGCAACACCCAGAACTGGGCCACAGTTTCCACCCTGCACTCCTGATTTGAAACAACAACAATAACCACAGAAGGGTTTTACAAAGTTAAGGTGCTTGGTTTTAAGATCTCAGCTCTGCTGCTTTCTTGTTTTATCCCTCTCCACAAGAACCTCAGCTGGCGCCATTTCATATCCTGGAATAATCTCTTCTGTGTCTTGCAGGGGCAGCACAATCACTGTTGTCTCTGTTAGCCAGGTCTTCAGCAGGAAGAGGGAAGAACATATTTCTGGAGGCTCTGGAGCAGATTCATGGATTCTGGAGTATTTTCTTCTCCCCAGACATCATTCCAGGCAAGCACTTCTCCCTCTCCAAGCCCCTGTGATTACCCAGGACTCCCTTTCAATACTAGATCTGTATTACTCAGGGTTTATGCAACTCTCCAAGTGTTACAGGAGAAGGGAGAATTCTTTGCCAGCTATAAATCTGGGATGTGGACACACATGATGGTAATAGCCCATCACATGAGCTAATTAGTAGGTGATTACTTTAACCTGGAAGGAAAACATACTACAAAAACTTCTTTGTATTCCACTTGTTCTCACCATGCGCTAAACCTGACCTAGGTTACTTCCACTTATTATTTTTTTTCCTTTTTGCTCTGAGATTTTAGGAGGGTTTTATCCTGGATTTGCCAAGTCTGCTTTATTGTTTTTCCATATCTTATTTCAAAAGGTGACCTGACACAAGATTCAGTTCATCAGTTAATGATTAAAAACCAGGCTTCTCTCCAATCAAAAATAAATAAGTTCTGTAAATGAGGTTTATTCTGATCTCTTTTATAGAATTGTTTATGCAAGCTCCTCTAGCCTTGACATTGAATTCAGATTGCCTGGAATTACCTGCAAGGTTTGAAATAACACAGTAGAAACCTTTTCACCTAACAAGTGAAGTTTTTTTTTGGTTCAGGGTTACTCCTCAGCTACATTTATAGAAGGCTGAACAATTTTGGTGTTTTATGTCTTTATTTCTCATCATATCTTCTTCAAAGCTCGAGTAGCACTGGCTCTCATCCTGCCAGAGAGGATTTGGGCAGGCTGGTCATCAGGTCACTGATGAAGATCCAGAACTGCTGAGCCATGAGCAGGCAAATTGCTTTTGTCCAACATGCCATGCTCTGACTTCACACCTCTGTTCTTGTCATGGTTGAAAAGTGGCCTGAACAGGTAACAAATCTCCCCATGGGGGAGATTTATGGGGTTTCTACAAGAAAAGTTATTTCCTGTGTACTCATCCCTTGAAAATCTGGTATCTCCATGTTTGTGACAGAGCAAGGGGCTTCAGTTTCTTTTTTCCTGTTGGAGCTGAGCAATGGAATTTTCTGCTTTGATGAAAATGCAGAGGTTTTGAAGCTGCACCTGCATGCAGCTAAGGTTTCTGTCTGTTTTTGAAGAGTTCATCCTGCAGCCAACCCCCAGCCAGCTCTGGTTCCTGTTTCATTCAGGACTTGAGCACTCCAGTCCTAATTCTTCAGTTCCTTAAATTTCATCCAGGCATTTATATCTGTGGGAAGTGGGTTTAACAGGCTTTGCAGCTCTGTTTTATGCCTTTCTTTGTACTTTTCCCAATATAAATAATACTAGAACAGTAAAAGCAATGGAATAAATGTCTAGGAGAGATGGGATGCAATAGGAAACCAAGGTGTGATTAATTTTTTAAAATCAAGATCTATTCAATCTGGTTTCTAGGTTCTCTTCACTTGGTAAGGGAATAGAATAGACTAAAAGATGTTTGAAAATCCATTCCAGAGAGGAAAATCAAGGATTGTACCTGCTCACAAGGGATTTGGTTTGCAGACACCCATGGTGTGCCCCATGTGCCAGGAGTTGTGGTGAGTTTGGTCAAAGTTTGAATGTCAGGAGGGAATGGCAGGACAGCCTGAGTTCTGCAGTCAGCTGAACTCAGCTGTCAGGCTGGTGCAGGAGAGCATTTATCCTTCCCTCTCTGTCCTCAGGTGCTCTGAAATCTAAGATAAAACTCCTGTTTTCTGGCATCTTAGGGAGCTCATGCTCTGTTTCTTCACAGTAAAAATCGAGCAGAACACGTAAAGTTAGAATAATTAGAGACTTCTTAGCAGCAAGTTGTGGCTCTTGGCATCAGTATTATTGGAGAATATGTGCCCATACTGCTCCCACAATACATTTCCTGAGCTGCTCCTGGGGCTTAGGCACACTCTTACAACAAGTTATTTCTGATAGGGACTTGACTGGGCAGTGATTTCTCCCCCTGGTTCTCACACTCTCAGTGCAGCTGAAGTGATATAATTAGCATTTTAAATAAGACAGTGCTTCAACAAAATTATTTTGGTTAAGATGACCCTGTGGAGGGAGATCAGTTTATGCTTTATGCACTCATGGCAGCTTGCCTCACCTGAAAGGCTGAGGTCTGCAGTTGTGAAGGCCCCTGGCGGAGTTCAGGAACCTCTTCAAACAGAAGTGGGCTATGGCAATTTCATCTTGAAATTAATAACATTTGAATAAACAGTGTCAAGGACTGCCCTGCTCAGGGGAAAGGTGCACTCTCCGGGTCATCCTAACACAGCACAGGCAATTCAGTGCCACAACTGGCAGCCAGAAGGTACTGATCAGGATAAATCTCTGATTTAGGAAGCTGATGGGAGTGCCCAGAACCCGGCCCTGTATAAAGCAGAGTTCTGCTAGAACAAATTGTTTATTTCCTCAGTGGAAGCTGACAGAACTCCTGTCTGCCTTTGTCCGGGCCTGCTGGAGCACACAGCCATGCCCCAGCCCCAGCTGTGCGCTCTGAGGATGGAGTTTGTAGCACCCACAGTAGGACCATGCTGAGATACAACTTTAACAAGGCAATCTAGCTCTGAGTTGAGCCGGGAGGAGCTGATGTATTCCTGCATTGCTTTAGTGGAGAAAATGGTAGGTCTAAGCTCAAGGGGTGTGCTCGGGGTCTTGGCATGTGTCCTAAAGGTCAAACACTTTTAGGAGGCACATTATGGCATGAACACCAACTTCTTTTTGGCTCCAAAGCAAGTTAAGCAGCCAGCTGAAAGTCCTAAGGTGTCTGAATGTACCAGCTGATCAATGGATGAATGGCTGTTGAAGATGAGACCTGTTTGTGCCTAATTAGAGCCCTGCCAGCTGTGCCTGCATGGCTGAGGCCTTGTGAGACCCAAGAACATCTGGTGCTCATCAAGCCAGGAGCTTTTGGCTGATGAGGAGCATGCACTGCTCGTGTGTCTGCGAGGCAGATGGCAAGAAGTGATGGTAGGAAAGCTCCTCTGGGAGCCCCTCTGGGTTAAGGGAACTGTGTCAGAGTTGGATTCTGAGCACTGCAGGCCATGTTAGCTGCAGGAACTTTCTGCCCAGTAAATTGTTTCCTGAGGCAAACTGTGTCTGAACAAACTAGGCTTTTGAGGTAGCTTGTTTTAGTCCTGCCTTGATGAGATGGCTGGCATGGATATCCACAGAAATGGCTCTGAGGTTATTTTCTGCAAGGGATGACTGGGACTGAAACATTGGAGCAGGGAACCTTAGCCTTTTCTCCAGCTTGTTCAAGAGAGTGGTTGTGATTAAAATAATGAATGAAGGAGAAAGAGTTTGGACTTCCACTGTAGTAATGTTCTGTATTTCACCAGACCCATTAATGCATTGAGCTCCAGATCTGTTTCTGCTGGAGTGCAAACAGCAGACCTTTGACTAGCTGCAGGCAGTCCTGGCTCCCTGGAGCTTTGATAAGCAGAGAGGAAAGACTCAAAGTTCAGCATCTGGGGAAAGAAGCCCAGATTCCTTTTCTGGTGAAAAATAGCAGTGAAGCAGCATTGTTCCTGTCTTTGCACCGGCTCGTGGAAGTCACACAATATTCCCCTTGCACAGCATCATTTTGCCTGTGTGTCCTCTCAACCTGACTCTTGCAGCTGCCTGGCCCAAGTCCCAGCCCTTCAGCAGGAGCAGAATGCTGCAGTCTGCCCTTGTCTGTGTGTCAGGAAACGTGAGCATCAGCCTTGTTCTCTAACAATTGTGTTGGCTCCCATCTGCTTTAGAATCCAGCTCCTCTGCTCTGTTTAAAAACTCCATTGGACAATCTGGATATTAGCACAAAGATGCTGCTCAGCCTGCTCTCAAAAACAAAATGCAAAGAGAGGAAAGAATTTTGTTGAAATGTATTAGTGAATATTACAAGCTGGAACTTGTTTCAGCCACTGTGTTCTCCATGCATCTGACAAAAACAGTGCCTGGCTTATCTATTACACAAAACCCCTGTGATCAAAATGTATTTCAGCTGCTGGAAACCATTGTAATTTTCCTACTGCTCACTATTTACACTAGGAGAATGAATCCTAATTAATTTTTGTTATGTACTTACTGTGATTGCTCAGCTTTCTCAGGCTCAGACCGAGGTCAAGAATCAGAGTTTGTGGAAGGATTTACTTTTTTTGAGCTGCTTTCCAAAGGTTTTCATTGCACCTGGAATTTGTCAGCCATATCCTCTTGGGCTGTGTGGAGAGAGCATTATGCATGAACTTTTGGAGCTAGTGAAAGAGGATGCTCCAGGATTAGTGTCTTAAGCAGTCTCCCAGGCTTTTCTTCCTGTTCCCTTTTCCCTTCAGACCCCTCCCAGGTCTGACCTGCATTTCTGTGGCAGAGATGTTGGTTTGGAGATAGGCAATGACAAGTCTGTGTAGTTAAAATGTGAGTATCTTCCGAGATAAAATTCACAGCTTTGCCCTGATCAGGTGAGATTAAAACTCTACAGCTCAGCTAAACTTAAAAATATTTTTAGCTTTCTTCTTTTGGCCCAGAGACCATTTTATCTAAAACAGATGGGAGCTTATCCTTGTCTTTAGAATTTTTTTATTCCTAATTTTTATGCCTATAAATGAGCTATCAGAATTCAATGAAATGAACCCCCTTTTAATAATGGAATCTACCCTGCAGAGTAGTAAGAAATAAAACTTCTCATTAGTCTTATTTAATGAATAGATAAGCAGAAACTCTTCTAAAACATTCAAGTGAGTTTAAAGAAGTGAGGGTTTTGGTTATGATCCTTGGTTTTCCTTTATTTTTTTTTTCTTTTCAATAACATTGGAGTATTTAAATCTTGGACTCCTTGGAAAACAGAAGTTTTACTTCTTATTTGGCATAGAATCCAAACAGGGGGTAACACTGTCAGAGTCTGGAGGTGGATAAAACATTTCCCAGATTTTATAGAGAGCTTGAACTTGGGCTTCTGATTTCACTCATTCCAAGGAAAGAAGCCAGACAAGAAGTTATATGCATAGAAATATTGTAGATGTATTAAAATATTTGTATGGCTCTCATC